TTCCCATGGAGCACGTTCTGTACTTGGCACAAGGAGGTCTGGGGAACCTGACCTTCACACTGGCTTCGGGCGCACCCACCAGGCGCTGTTACAGCTCTGCCCGCCAGGTGGCCCAGGATGGCTCCTGTCTCGCCCCCAAGGACATCATGGACATCATAGGGAGCCCTGCGCCGGGCGTCCAGCGGAATGCAGAGGCAATCTGGCAATCTGGCTTCCCGCCTCCCGCCGCGAACTTCCTCGGCCTGTGCGCCCATCTTGAGGAAAGGGGGACGCAGAGCTCCACGTCCTCCGCCGGGACTGGGGAAGCGGGCACCGGCCCAGGCCTCCCTCGCGGCTCCCGCCCCCGCCGAGTCGGAGCCTCCCCGGATCTTTCGTTTGCTTTTCCAACTTCGATCTGGGGGCTCCTGCCCTGACCTCGTTATGGGGTATCCGCGCCTGACTCCTTTGGGGTCCGAGGGCCTGAGGGATCCCAGAGCATGCGGCGAGGGGCCGCAGGCACCAGCCCCCCTCCCGCCCCTCCTGGAGGCTTGTCCCGGGAAGCTTCCCCTCCAGCGCGGCCTGCGTCCTGGCCGCGGGGCACGGAGGCAGGGAGGGCCAAAGCCGAAGAAATGAGGTAACCCACCCACCCGCGAAAGAAGGCCAGCATTGCGCCCAGCATGTAAAATGTAAAATATCTCAGAGCCTCAACCAGGTAACGGAAGCCACATAGCAACCCTAGAGGGACCATCTCTTTGGGAAATGGCGCCACCAGATGGCTGCAGCGAATCCCACCGAAATATGCTGGGGCTGGCGGGCCACGCAGCCCCACACTGCACCGGGTAGCAGGGATGGCCCATGATCACCGCCCCAGGACAGAAGTTGACAACACCCACCTGCCCGCCGATGAAAGCCCAGCGAAACACCCACTGGATCAAGAGGAGTCCCTAAAGCCAGCATGTTAACACCAGGAGCTGGACCCCTCACAGTGTGACCTGGCCCCAGTGACCTCTCTGTGCCTCCGTTTCCTCACAACTACTGACACATTTGCAAAGTAAGAGTCACACCTGCCTGCCGGGCAGCAGTGAGGCTTTCAGGAGACAGCCCCACAGTAGGTTTGTTAGTACAACCTGTTGGCCTGGGCTACGGGTTTGTGGTTCACCAGGCTACCCAGGCCGGCCAGGGCCTGCCCTAGCTAACTCCATCCTTCCTCATTCAGGAGTTGCTGTCAAGGCTTAAAGCCTCCCAGAGAATCCTGCCTTTAATAAGGAGCAAGTGTTAGAGAACTCAGGGGGTTTGCTTGCTTGGAGTGTTCTATTCTAGGAGAAGTGGTTGTAACAAGGTTCTTGTATCTGCTTGCAGCAAGAAGACAGGGAATTCACATCCAAAGCTCTGCCTCCCCAAAGGGAGCCTTAGCCACTGGTACACACCATCTGGTTAATGACATGTTGATTTCTTCTCTGCAGTTGGTCAAACTTATCCAATTGAGACATGGTCACACTTGGGAGGTTTACAGTGTCTACAAAATCCTGGACTACACTTTAACATGTAGCAAGAATGGCATTTACTAGTTGTAACGGGCCAGGCCTTGAGACCCTTGTCCTACCGAACACAGGGAAACCCAATCTTTCCAACAGAAAGGAAGGGTGGGTCAGGGCTGCAGTTATTTGGGGGCTAAGAAACTTGTCTCCAATTCGGGGTTGCCCCTCTGAAGCCAGTGCTGGACTTTTGAGAATTAGGAAGCCTTATATTACACTTGTTCTCCCCCTTTCTGCTTGCACTTCCTCTCAGATATGAGTCCATAGGCCTTAACTTTGCTATTCCCCAGTGGAAGCGAGAGGCTGCGTTTCCCAGGCTCTCCGTGGATATAGCAGACACAGGGGTCAGGGACCTCTCCAGCAGAGCAGAGCCTCTGAGAATGAGAGCCAGTGAGTGTCCTGCGGGTCCAGACACAAAAGCCGACCAGGGGATGCAAATCTGAAACACGGATTGTGGAGGCTCATCTTCAGGCCTGCAGCCTTTGGGTGGGATGCTGTTCACTGTGTGCATGGTGAGGCTGGGATGGGGGAAGGGGTGAGTATCAATCCCATCACCAGGAACCCCTGGGCAGGCAGCCCCCTTTAAGCAGGCTGCCAGAGGAATTGCCGCCCACCACCCCTTACCCTGGGTTTGCATGAATCCTTTCCTTCCTAAAACGGACCGGAGGTGGGGGGTAGGAGGGAGAGGCGCCGAGATAAGCCATAACTCTCGGTTTGTAAAAGCAAAAGCTTCGGCCGTTTTCGATAAGAGGCAAGGATCTACGAAGACCCTTAGGCTGAGGCCGTGGGCCTGAGGGCCAGCCCAGAGCGCAGCGGAGTTGGGGTGCAGGCGCCGCGGCCTGGCTGCGCACACGTGAGCGTGTCCCTCTGCAGTGGCACAGCGACCCCGGCTGGGGGGGAGGCATCCGCTTTCGTGCGCTTTTCACAAGGTCCACGCTTGAGCTCCCATTCCCATGGGCGGTTATTCTCCTGCCCTCTCTCAATCAGCTAGTCCCCCTCAATCAGCTCGCACCCCGGGCGCGCCTGGCCCGCGGGCGTGCGCTTACCTGGGCGCGAACGAGCGGGGACGGAGAGAGACTGGGACAGGACGCAGAGTGGGTGGGAGGCCGCGGCCTGGGCAGGGGGAGTCGAGGCTGGGCAGCGCGGGTAAGAGGAGGGCCGCGGGCCCTGGGACCTGGCGGGTGAGAACCGGACCGGGGGCGCCACGGCGATTGAGACCCCGCTGCAGCTCCCGGCTCCCCCTGGCGGCCAGAGGGACGCCGGACTCCCCCAAACAATGCCTCGGGTCTGTTCCCCGGGTGTGCGGAGGTGCCCGCCTCACACAAGCCCAGCCGCTCTGGGCTCCTACAGCTCCGCACTAGAGGGTCTGAAGGATGGGGCGACACCCGAAGAAAGCGGGGCGCGGGGGTTGGGGGGGGGGGAAGAGGGGAAGGAGGGAGAAGAGAGACTGGAGCAGTGGAGGCGAGAGAGCCTTCATTCCATCCCAGCGTTCAAGTTCCAGAATCTCTCCAGCTCTGGCTCTGATGAGCTGTTTGATTCTAAATGTGTTCCTTTCGTTTTGGGGTTTATTTTCAAAATAGTGTGTCTTGGGAGCGGGGCTTTTCATCCTCTTGGGGCTTTCCTGAAAACGAAAGGCCTACGACCGATTCGGCGGAAGAGCCGCCTTTTGCTGCCGCCCCGGCCCTTCCCCAGCAGGAGGAAAGATGGAATCCGGACTTTTGGATTGGTGGGGGGGGGGGGGGCTCAGATTCTTGTCCAGAAGATGCTCTCCCCCACAGACAGCGACTTTCCCCAGGAGATACAGCATGAGCTCTCACCGCCCACACATTAACTCCCTCCTCTAAGCAGTGGGACCACAGAGAGAGCGGGACGACTTGGGGTCGCCAGGCCAATCCATCCTTCAGGAACGGAAGGAAATAAGGGGGGGGGGGGTGAGGACACAGCCAGTTGATGGCTCCGAGTGGACGGAGCAATAATGCTCGCGCTTAGGAAAGAACCCTGGCGGCTCGCTTTTGCAGGATTATCTCTTTGGATCTGCAACGCTCACCTACTTGGGAAGCCGAGGAGGAGACCACCTGCTCCTAAGAAAGACTTGGGGCGATGAGGGGAAAGGAGGCCCCCACCACACAGCTTCCCTCTGCTGGCACTCCAACAGTTCCAGTTGACAGCTGTGAGCTTACCATTTGCAGTCCGGGAAGGGAGATGCAGGCCTGTATGTTCACCTCTGCCTGCACACCAGCCACCCTGCTGGCATAGGCAGGGTAGTTGAATCAATGCTAGTCCTCCTGGGTCTCTAGACCGGGCTCCTTTCTCTGCCCCCTCCGCCTTCTTTCCCAGCCTGCCCACCGGGCACATTGTCTGCCAGTCCCTTGTACCCAGCACTAGCCCTTACAAACTGCGCCCAGAGAAGGCCCATACTCCGGTTCTCGGAGCTCCCCCGCTCCAAGGCCTGTGTGTGTTAGGATCCCAAGCCCGGGAGGGGTGGGCAGCGGTGTGTGATGCAGAGGAGACTCTGCAGAGGCGCCTCCACAGCAGCAAAATCTAGACCGACCCCAACAACAGAACCACCACAGCGTCTTCTTTTCCATGTCAGAGGTTTCACTCCTACAACTTTATTGGTAATTACATTATTTTTTTTTAAAGGTCAGGGAGGAGCACACGTACTTGGTCACTGTGTGGGCCTGGGGCGGACAGGTCCCAGGTGCAAGCTGAAGGCACAAAGACCCGGATGCCCGCCGGCTGGCGCCCGGGAGATGCAGTCCCGTGGCCCCCACCCCCGAAAAGCCCCGGTTCAGAACAGAAACTTCAGAATGGGGTACACAATCCCTGGTCGGGCCTTCGCCGTGGGGGAACTGCATCCCCTCGAGGGGCGGGGGGCGCTGAGTGCATTTCCGCCGGGACCTGGAGGCAAGGCCGCCCATCGCGTCCCAGGGTCCTCGATCTCTCCAGCCCCCGCCCCGCACGCTCACTATTGGGGCGCAGCTATTTGTTTGTAGTTGAAAGAGACACGTGAGGGCGCGCGCTCGGCCGCACCTATTGGGGTGTGTGGGGGCGGCCAGCATCCCCTTCCCGGGAGCGCCAGAGGGACATTCTCAAAAGAAAACCCAGACCAAGTGAGTAGTGACCAGCCCTCCTCAGATTACTCTCCACTGGCTCCTCCCTTGCTCCCCCCCCCCGCCTCCAAGATTTGCATTCAAAAGGCCAAGAGAACTCTGGCGGGGCCCCAGCAGTTGCACACACTGCTTCCCCAGGTCGGAGCCCCCCGGAGCTGAGCCCGGGCTTGCAGCACGAAAGCCGAGCGGAGCGGTCCTCGCCCGCGCAGTCCTGTCCACGGCCCGGCCTCCCTGCGCCCGGCCGTCCCGCCGCCCACTCTCCAGGCCCCGGAGCCGGGCCGAGCGAGCGAGCGAGCAGCGGGCCGGGACCCGCTCCGGCCGCGGCCGCCTGCGCCTCCCCGCTCCGCTCTCCGCCCCCGGCCGCGCGCCCACCATGCCGCCGCGGGGCCCCGGCTCGCTGCTGCTGCTGGCCCTCGCCTCGCACTGCTGCCTGGGCCCGGCGCGCGGGCTGTTCTTCGGCCAGCCCGACTTCTCCTACAAGCGCAGCAACTGCAAGCCCATCCCGGCCAACCTGCAGCTGTGCCACGGCATCGAGTACCAAAACATGCGGCTGCCCAACCTGCTGGGCCACGAGACCATGAAGGAGGTGCTGGAGCAGGCGGGCGCCTGGATCCCCCTGGTTATGAAGCAGTGCCACCCGGACACCAAGAAGTTCCTGTGCTCGCTCTTCGCGCCGGTGTGCCTCGACGACCTGGACGAGATCATCCAGCCCTGCCACTCGCTCTGCGTGCAGGTGAAGGACCGCTGCGCCCCGGTCATGTCCGCCTTCGGCTTCCCCTGGCCCGACATGCTCGAGTGTGACCGTTTCCCCCAGGACAACGACCTCTGCATCCCCCTCGCCAGCAGCGACCATCTCCTGCCGGCCACCGAGGAAGGTAAGCCTGCCTTCCCCTTTCTTTTCTCTCTCTGAGCTTTTCTGAAGACTTTCCGGAGGAAATTCCGAGGTCCCCGCCCCACATCCCTGATGCGTCCCCTCCTGCGGTGCCAGACCTAGCGGGGGACGGACGCTCTCCTTGCCAGAGTGCGTCGTGATAAATCTTAGATACACATACACACATACACACGCCTCTCATTCCCCTCCCGAGTTATTCCAGTTATACCTTTCTTAGGGACAGTTAAAAAAAAAAAAAGAAGAAGAAAGAAAGAAAATGAATAACTGAACAGCATCTTTTCCATATGATATAAAATTATTTTTGCTACCAGAGGAGAGGAGGGCTTGGAAATGGGCCTGTGGGGAGGGGTTGGTGAGCATCTGGCTCTGCGTGCTGAAAATGGAGCATTGGTTACAACTGCTCAGGTGTCTGAGTAAGAGGACATGAAGGGAATCTCCAGGAGTCATTTTCTGTCATAAATCAGCTTTTATCTTAGGAGTGGTTTTAATTAGCCATGCAAAAAAAAGGAGTTTCCCAAGTTTTTAGAAAACAGGGGGAGTTCCTGTGCAAAAACCATCAAAGCAATGAAAACCTCATGGGCTCTTGATATTTTTCCTGAAAGCAAAACATACACAAGGAGTCTGCACTGATTTAAGTACCCCCCTGGGAGGGAAAGGGAGCTTCCTAATCCCCTCCAGGGCTCCAGCAGCATCTCCCTTTCAATCCCTAATTGTTTTCCTACAGCCATCGTTAGTTAAAGAAAATGCAAAGTTGCTCAGCAATCTTTCCTGGCAGGCACCGTGAGTGTGCAATCATCTTATTGGTTAGATTTCTAATTTATTGCAAATGTTTGGCATATTTCAAACATTTGTCCAACATACACCACAGACCGACCAACACAGGTTAGTAACATTTTATATACATTCCTAGAGCTCCTAATTGGAAATGTTTCATTTTGTTTGAGTGAGGGGAGGAAAGGGCAGTTTTATGTGTGTTGCTTTTGTTTATTTCTTTCCACTATCGGCACCGACATTATACACTACCTTTTTCCCAAAAGCCACTTTCTCAAAATAAAAATAAAAGTGTAGAGGTTTTCAAAATGGGCTCTGCCATTTTTGTAACTTGACAAATAACTGTTCTGTCATGAATCACATACAGATTTTTTTCTATGAACATTCAATTTCATATTAATGAAAATCAAATTTCACCTAAGTTTTCAAGACAGAACACTGATAAATGGAGAAATGTTCTTTCCTTTGTTGTTGTTGTTGTTTTCCCTTTTCCCAGGAAATCAAACTGTTTTAGAAGAGCCATCAGCAGGCTCTCTGATCTTTGTGCTCCTGCACATTCCTAGGTGGGGTCAGATCCCAGAGGCAGTTGGCTTCAATGTTGATAAACTTCAGGAAAAGCTTTGTAGTTTGGTAGGCTGCTTTTTTTTGTTTTGTGAGTTTGTTTTTGAGAATTTGAAACAAACAAAGAAGAGCAAGAAGAACCTTCCCCAAGGGACAAAGATAAAAATGAAATAAATGTTGCTTAACTGGAGCACAAACCTGGCAGAAAGCTCCAGGTGATGCAGAACCGGTTAGAGCAGGCTGTTGAGTTTCCCAAGGTGTTTCCATGGTGGGAACGAGCCCCTAGGTAACCCTTACACCACGAGCCACCTTCGCCTGTGCAGTCTTAAAAATACCTTAAAATGCTTCTCCTGAGACACAGAGTCTACTCCGGAGCCCAGCAAAGACAGGCTGCATTGGTGTCCTACAGCCGAGAAAGTCAATATTTTGGCCATCGTTGGTGGTTGGTTTTCCAAAATCTCTCAAGAGTCTTCTGGTGCTTTCTCCTCAGAGAGCCTTTTGGGAACAACTTTTTCAGGGACTGAGTTTGTCCCAGAGGTGGGGAGAAAGAACTAAAAAGCCTGCACACTCTGCCCCAAGCGCCCTTTTCCTTTGGGATTCACCATATAGTAAGCAGAGCCCATGGGCATTTTTGTCCATCAAAAAATAGTAGGCATGGAGACTTCTTTAGGAATGAATGACTAGTCCTTTTTTAAAGGAGACAGAAGCTGGGGTCCAGCTACTCTTGCCTGGGTAAGCCCTTTGAGTTGTTTACAAACGCCACCTGCAGTTCCCTTTTAAGCAGACTTACTCAATTTTCACCTTTCTAGCTCCAAAGGTCTGTGAAGCCTGCAAAAATAAAAACGAGGATGACAACGACATAATGGAAACTCTTTGTAAAAATGATTTTGGTAAGTAATACACCACCAACAACAAAACATTCAGAAGTTTTATTTATCAGTAAAACGTAAGGTGCAAATCATGAAGACGTAAAATACCAATACCATCCATGCACCTTTCCTAAAGTCAACTAACTTGCTCTATCCTAGTTTCCTCCCTGTGTAACAGTCTTATAATGAGTTGTATCTTTTCAGATGAGTCTATTCGTTCTGCTAAGCAATAATCAATTAATGAGAATTATTCAGATTATTAATTTCCAGTGGCATATTTTCATTTCACTTGGGCTTTTTCTCGCCAGCAAGCCTTATTCTGAGCCATGGGGTCTTTTTGACACTTGACATGTGCACCAGGGAAGGGAATGTAAATATTAGCCCTAGACACACACATTGAAGGCATTACGTTGGCCACAAACTAAAATATTCTTATTTTATTCATAACCATCAGTGACTATATCCAGGATACTGGTTAATAATTGGAAGAGGGATTCCTTGAATTTAAAAAAGAAGAAATAAAGGTCAGGAATTTACTAGGCAAGATACAGGAATGATCCCTGAGGACATGGTGCTTGGGGACAATAAATAATGTGTGATATGTTACTCAAGTTCCATAGAGTGCAAATCACTACCCTTAAGGGAATATTAAAAGAGGGAAGATGGTTGGAGACCGTCCATGTCGGACTCAATCAGCACCTTATCTGCTGTCCTCAGGCCTCCAGGGTGAGGGAGGAGCCCAACTAGACATGGGTCAATGCCAGATTCAGAGTTGGGACTGGCCAAGAACTTCACTCAGACTCCTGAGGCATTCTAGTTTTCATCCCATTCCCAACGCAGGCAACTTTTGATGTGTTTAAGTAGTTGATACCCCATAGATGCATTCACTGAGGCAGAAGGCTAACCTTACTGGTAAACAGATGGGATCCCTGCTCTATCAAACAATAGTATCCTCTAACAGGTCTGTATTACTAATTCTACATCCTCAACAAACTATTTGAGACTGAGAGAAATTACTGCAGCTCCCACTGTTGAGGATGCCCCCCGCAAGAAATCTCAGGTTTGGTCAGTTCCCTGAAACTTTGAGATACTCCTAACCCTGCTCCTTATAACTCCAAGTCTCTCCCAGTAGGTGTCTGGGTTTACCATTAGCTGAGAACAACCAGAGACCCAGCTTTAGGAGAAGAGTCCCATGCCAAGGAAGAGACAAAGAGAGGAGGCAACTGTCCCAACCAGTCCTTCCCCTCTGCAAGAGCTACAAGTGGGATGCTAGTGTTTCATAGGTGTATATTCAAATATAGACAACTCTCAAGGCCTGTCATGTGGGCAGCAGCAATCCAAATCTCCAGGGTCTTAATCAACACAGTTCCTAGCTTTATGCTACCAGATATGATTAAGGGTAAGAGATGAAAAAATAATTTTAATAAAATATATATTAAAGTTTATATCTTCTTCTGACAGCTTATGTCCTTTACACTAGATTTAATCCAGATCTCCCTCCTGACTTCCACGAAAATGTTGATTATATTATGGGGCTCCAAAACAGTCAATTTAGGAGACATGCAGACACACACACAAGACCTTCCTAAGGATGCTCTGTCAAGACTGGACCAGAAAAATGGGGAGGAGTGGGGGTAGTGCTAGTGTTCTTTCTCCTTAGAGGAAAAAGCCTTTCAAAACAACATATAAGTCATTACATTTAAAGTACCACACATGTAAATATCTCACAAGCTTTGTTTTCTATTTCCCCACATTCATTTTTGTCTCAAAAGGGCTAATGAACCTACCCTACAGGAAGTACATTATATACCCCTGGTTTATAAGCAGTATTCTATATTGCCTCTATACTTTGGGAAGTTATGGAATGGTAGAAGGAACAAGGATAAAAATCTGAGGTATTTAACATCACACTCTTTCCCCATTGCACACCTGAAGTACAGGGGGAATGTAGAAAAACAGTCACCAACCCTATTTCAAACCTGAAAATACTGGTGAAGAAACAAAGGCCCAACCCTTCTGCTTTAGCATACAACCTGTTGTTGAATTGGATGGTGATTATCACATCCTGTATCCCCATTCTCATCTTCCAGGGCAGGAAATGTTGTTCTGGGACTTTAATTCCCTATATTTGGTCCCAGCTGAGAATCCAGGGAGGAAGGGCCTGATGTTTCCCCAGGGTAATCTTTTGCAATGTTGGCTATTTTAAAGCTGGAGAAACATGAGTGATAAATGTTCCCTCTGGGTCAAAGTGATGATTTTTTTAATGTTTGGAGCTCAAGAATGTTTAATTTGACCAGGCAAAATTCACACATGCTCTCTCTGTAATCACTGCTCTCACCATATGTCGTCCCCACCCCCACACCTTATACAGAGACCATAGGACGTATTCCACGATATACATCTCACAAACTCTGAGAACTCAGAGGGATGGTTCAGAGGTATATCAGAAAAATACATGGTTGGCTAACTCACAGTGTCCTTGATTTACCTGGCTGAGCTTTATTCATTTTCCAGTTGGAAAAACACACACACACAAAAAAAAAACATCTTAGTCAAATTCTCTTTTTAAGATAGAAACCATTGAAGCAGTGATGCTCACATACACACAGTACTCTTCCTTTAGTACTAATTTCACCAATGACTCAAACGCCATCAAAGTCAGGCCGTTAGACTCATACATATCTCTATAGAGCAGTTGTCAGTGGCACCAAGAGTCTTAGGGCACATTCAGTTGGGAGAGTTAATGCTCCAACCAGGGCAAGAACCTGGAAGTTGCCTTATGAGACCACACTGGCTTTCTAGGAGGTTTGGGAACCGGCGTTCTGAAAACTAGCTCAGCCAGGACACTACCCAACTGGGTGACCTTGTGTAAGTCACTCCGTTTCTCTGGAATTCAGATTCTTCATGTGCCAACAGGAGATTTTTAACTGGCCGATTTCTTCCAACCTTAAAATTCTGTCCTTTCTCTGCCTTCATGGATTCTTGAAATGGAATTCCACCATGTATGTTTGCAGGGTTTTCTGTCCCAAAGCATGCTGTTTATGACTATAAAATGTGTCTTTTATGTAAACCATTTACTTTTGGTCTTAGCATTCTAATGAGTCCAATATCCATTTTGGAAACAGTACATACATGATCTGTAAACGCCCTGGCCTTGGACAGGCAAATGATAGCATATGAGAATGAGGTCTTCAGCAAAACACTTTTACAGCTAAACATGTGCTCTTAAAAAGAGTCTTGGATATTTTTCTCCTAGTTACTTTACCAAATCAAATGCAGCTGTAAGATCATCTCTCCTTCCCTGTAGTCTGTTCTTTAGAAAACAATGATTGTGTGATATAATTTCCTTACAGGTTTGTCCAAAAACCTATCCGACCTAATTAATTGAGTTTAAAGTTTACAGCCACAGAAGATCACGTTTCACCTAAGAGTCAGGCATTTCTTTTCATGCTGACGTTTCCAATAGGGAAAGTCCTTTGTTGAGAGCAGAGCACAAACCACGTGCGACCTACACACAAACACCTAGTCAGGCTAGGAAAGTCAAATGAGTCTCACAGAGGAGTTTTGATTTGAAATAAAGTGCAAGGCAAACCCTTTGAGGCTTTAATTTTTTTTTTTTTTCAGAGAGGAAGGGAGAGAGAGAGAGAAACATCAATGATGAGAGAAAATCATTGATTGGCTGCCTCCTGCATATCTCCTTGCTGGGGGGGGATCAAGCCCGCAACTGGGCTTGTACCCTTGGCCATAATCGAACCTGGGACCCGTTAGTCCACAGGCTAATGCCCTATCTACTGAGCCAAACTGGCTAGGGCCCTTTGGGGCTTTAGAAATGGAGCACCTGCTGTCCCCAGCTCCCACCTCACTTCGCACAGCCCCTGACAGTCCCTCCGCTCGAGGAAGCTCTTCCTCCATCCCCCACGCCTGGTCACACCAATATGCCATAGAATAGGATGAGGGGAGCTCCCATTCTATCCTGTATTCCCTCATTATAACTGGAGTGATTCCATCTCCTCTGGTAGCACTGAAAATAAAAGTGAAGGAGATAACCTACATCAACAGAGATACGAAAATCATCCTGGAGACCAAGAGCAAGACCATCTACAAGCTGAACGGGGTGTCCGAAAGGGACCTGAAGAAGTCAGTGCTGTGGCTCAAGGACAGCTTGCAGTGCACCTGCGAGGAGATGAACGACATCAACGCGCCCTACCTGGTCATGGGACAGAAACTGGGCGGGGAGCTGGTGATCACCTCGGTGAAGCGGTGGCAGAAGGGGCAGAGAGAGTTTAAGCGCATCTCCCGCAGCATCCGCAAGCTGCAGTGCTAGTCTGGGCGGCCCCGGCTGCTTCTGACAGGCCAGCCCCAGGGCTCGGCTGACCACATCCACCCAGAGGCCTCGGCTCTCCTGTCCCAAGCACAGTCCCTGCAGCTCCGGCCGCAGCCTGGAGCAGCTTCCCTGCCTTTTGCACATTTGCACCCCCAGCATTTCCTGAGCTATAAGGCCCTTCGAGGCCTCAGGAAAGGATACCTATTTTCACATAAAGGAAAGCCACCCGAGTATTGTAGGAATATTCAGAGTATTAAAACCATGCATATTTTTATGAAGTTTTAAGATAGCTCACTGTAAAAGCTAGTTTTGAATAGATAAAAACTGTGACTTGGGTCTGATGCTCATGTTTTCCCAGTTTGGTTGGGGTCACCCGATTTTCACGTTCTGCTGAGGTTGCCCTGATGTACACATAGCTTCGTTTTGGTAGGTGGCCCCAGGGTTGTGGGTCAGAATCCAGGTTGGGATAAAGCTGGCTGTTATCTCAACATCTCTCAGCAGCGCAGGCCTGAGGTCTGAGACTCGGGCGCCTAACCATTCACTTGACATTTTCCACCCTCGTGAAGTTAACTGCAGCACACACTGCATTTCCAGGTAGAGTGCTTCCATTTTTAAAAACCACGTTATTCGTCATAGCATGATTTCTTCGAATAAAGGGCATAGCAGACACATTTTGTAATTGGCCCGAGTACTTTAAGCTTTGTTTAAAACGTGTTTTTTTTTTTTTTTATTGTTGCAAATGAAACCATTGGTAGCTTACCTGTAATATACATAGTAGTTGACCTGAAAAAAGTTGTAAAAATATTGCTTTAACCAACATTGTAAATATTTCAGATAAACATTATATTCTTGTATATAAACTTTACACCCTGTTCTACCTACTTGTCGTGGTCTTTTTAGTAGGAGTTATGTAAGAGTGGTCACCTCCTTTCTCCTGAGATCCAGCCTTCCCACAGTTTGAAGTATCTGTCTCTTAAGTGACACAGGAAGTGTCTCCCTGTGGCGGCACTGGGCTCCTGCCTATGCCTCACGGCTCCTCTGTACAGTTGTTTACACTGGAGCCTGCAGGGAGGCGGAGATTGACAGCCTCTGCAGAGAAAGCTCCTGCTCTTGCCCCTTCTCAGCAGTTCAGCTGCAGCCATGTGGCAACACTGTCTTAAACCCCAAGGTTCATGGCCTCTACTGTTGTCCTTCTCATTCCCAGAGGTTTTCATAAGGAAAAAGAGTAACCATTGCAAAAATCGTTAGTTCCTTCCCCACTTTAACCCTCAGCTAAAGAGCCAGTGGGAGATGGGGTAGGGAGGAGACGGTGAAAAACCAATATTAAAAGGGCAGCCTAGCCAGTGTTGCTCAGTAGTTGAGTATTGACCTATGAACCGGAGATCACATGTTTGGGGTGTGGGCTTGATCCCCAGTAGGAGGCATGCAGGAAACAGCCAATGATTCTCATCATTGATGTTTCTATCCCCTTTCCTTTCCTCTTTGAAGTCAATAAAAATATTCTTTTAAAAGAAGGGCAGACATCCATAAAATGTCCATCCAAATACTTCATTACTTGGGAGCCTCCAGAGAAATTCTATTAAATATATAAGGAGACAGGCTCAGAAGGGTTGGGGAGCATGGCTCAGAGGGCAGAGGTGAAACTCGGGCCTTTCGAAGGATAATTTTATCTTCTACCTGGAAGTGGATTTTAGAAACGTGGTGGCACTCATTTACTCAACAAGTATTTACTGGGCATCTGCTATGTGCCTGGCCCTGTTCTAAGTGCTAGGGAGACTTACTTTAGTCCTTGTTCTTATAAAGTTTACATGAGATAGAGAAAAAATATACAATTATATATCTACTAGAGTCCCAGTGCACAAAATTCGTGTGTGTGTGTGTGTGTGGGGGGGGGGGGTGTCCCTCAGCCCGACCTGCACACTTTCCAATCTGGGAGCCCTCAGGGGATGTCCAAATGCCAGTTAGGGGAATTGAGCCTAAACTGACAGACATCCCTCTCTCAATCCAGAATTTCTGCCTTCTAACTGCTCACCTGCCTGCCTGCGCCTAACTACTCTGCCTGCCTGGTCACTCCTAAATGCCCTCCCCTGCTGGGCTGGTTGTCCCTATTAACTTTTTTTTTTTTTTTTAATTCTTATCCCCTTTACACACAATTGTATTTGACTTTTTTATTGGCTTCTCCCTCACACAATTTTTCTCTCTCCTTTATGTAACACCTTTTCCTACTGACTCATCATTTATAAACTTTTCTTTCCTCCTTATTTCCTACTTCTGTTCCATCATCCTTCTCCCCACTTTCTACTATGCTCCCTCCCTGCCCACATTCCTTCTTTCCTTTATCTTTACCCCTTTCCTCCCTCCCCTTTTCCTTCCTTCCCACCCTAATTTTTTTTCTTCACTTCCTCGGACCTGCTTTGCTCCCTTCCCCATTTCTTCCTTCTTCCTATTCTCCTTTTAAGCTTAACCAGCTCTCCTTTAAAATTTTTCTTCCCTCCCTCTTTCTCTCTCCTCCACATCCTTCTCTACTTACTTCCACTGTTTTAGTATCTATCTACCTGCCTAATTATTCACTATTATTTATCTTTTTTCTTTTCTGACTCCTACTTTTAAAATCTGTCTCCAGTATACAACTATACTTCATTTTCATTGTAGCTCCTACAGTTCACTCACATATTCTCTTTCCTTCTTTAATTCTGCTCTTTACTGACTCCTTTATAAAGTTTTTTCCCTCCCTACTTCCCTTCTTAAAGCTTCCATTGAGGGGGAGAGTGGCGTTAACCCCCAGCCCAGGGCTCAGCCCCAGCCAGGTGCTCACTGCCCCTCCCCTTCCCCGGCCTTCCCACCACTGACCTGCTCCCATTCCCTGCCCGGGACACCTGGCCCAGCGAGGGTGGCCCAGGCCCACGCAGTCTGAGTGCTGCTGCCTCGAAGCAGGAGCACCTCCACCCAAAGGCCTCGGACTGTCCTCCACTCGGTCCCGGTCCCATGGGCACCTCCCAGCCAATGGCTGCCACCACCCTTCTCCTGAAACTGGGTGGGGCTCCCCACTCCGCACCACCTATGCTCCTCCTGTGGTGCTCCTCCTTTCGCTGGGCACATCTGCTCTGACCCCCTGTGGTTGCCACCCCTTTCCGCGTGCAGTTTCCTTCCTTTTTTCATTCCTGCATAGTTTTCTTGTTTCCTTTCTGTATTTCTGTTTCTCCTCTCTGCCTGTCTGCACGCAGGCCTGCCTTCCTCTCCCTCTCCTTTTTTTATCCCATCCTATCATATCCTATCCTCCCCCAGACCTTGCAGCTGCCTAAGCAGAGGGCGGGGACCCTGTAATGGACAAATTTGCATATTCCTCTATTATTAGATTAGATCATTGCCAATTACATGAAGTACTAGTGGCCTGGTGCACATGGGGGAGGTTCCCTCAGCCCACCCTGTACCCTGTTCAAGCAGGGATCCCTAAACCAGCAGTTGGACATCCCTCTCATAATCTGGGACCTCTGGCTCCTAACCACTCACCTGCCTGCTTGCCTGATTGCCCCTAACTACCTCTGCCTCACTGCCTGATCACCCCTAACAGCCTCTGCCTCGGCCCCTACCACCATGGCTTTATCTGGAAGGAAGTCAGATGGCCAGTTGACCCAGTCTAATTAGCATATTACCCTTTTAGTAGTATAGTTAGATTATATAGGACATGATTGCTCAAATGGAGGGGAAAGCCTTTTTCATCAGAGGAGATGCTCTTGGCAGACAAAAATACATAATCCCTATACCTGAACTGATAGCCAGTCATATGCACTATACTGCCAAACCCAAACCGGTCGTTAAAAAATTGAACCGCTTTCTTACACCAAACTGCTGTTGCCCTTAAAACCCCTCCTCAGCCCCCACCTTAGGTTCTGCCTCCACAGTTCACCCAGCCAGATTTGGTTCTTACTGATTGGTTTCTATGCCAATCAGCAGCTCCAGGCCTATCAATGGGCCTGATGCGATAGGTGGGGCTGATTAGCAGCCCCAGTGGAGGCCTGAGAGAAAGAGAGGCAATGCTGCTGGCCAGAATGGAGTGAAAGAAAGAGGCAAGTGCTGACCAACAGCTGCCATGGAGGAGAAATGAATCTTTGTATAAGAACAAATCTGTAAGAGATTTTTGAGCAGCACTTCCTAAGCGTACAAAGAACAAAGGCTCTGTGTACATGCACAAGTCAGTATACTGAAATCCACAGGGTTGAAAAGGATCCATTTTATCTAATAATGCCCTCCATTCATCACTATCTCATCTCACATCAAATAGCTAGCCTGGATTTTTTAGCTTTTTACTCTTGTTTACTATCATGTTTTCAATATTCTTGATGGAGAGAGGGGGTCATCTTAAAAAGCAAATCCAGCCGTATGTACCCCTTGTGCAGTCACTGCATCTGGATTGTGAAATAATGTGCTTTTCGCCTTTGAAACACACTGTTCAAGTATAAACTAGCTCATTAACTCAGTGATGATTTACTGAGCACCAACTATCATCATTGATGTATTTATTCAGTAATCTGTATGGAGTGTTTACCCTTAGTGATGAGGTCCCAACAATGACCAACTCATGGCTACTCACAAGAAGCTCACAGTATAAGGCAGGAGTGGGGAACTTTTTTTCTGCCAAGGGCCATTTGGATATTTATAACATCATTTGCAGGCCACACAACATGATCAACTTAAAAATTAGCCTGCCCTACTTGGTCAAACATTTAATTAACTCACCCCTAGTGCATTGGCTGGGCCAGACAAATCATTTCATGGGCCTTATACATAAGGCCTATGGCCAGCGGTGGGACATTCCCCACCCAAGGAGTGTGACACCTAGGCATGTAGTAAACAATAGTGACTGAGATCCACATTTCTCCAGACACTCCTGGACACAGTCTTCCTGGGCTCCATTTGTTCTTCTGAGTATAAGTTCACATTAAAATAATACTAAAAATCGCAATCTCCAGGCCCAGAAATTTTACTGGAGAATTTTACCA